GGGCACAGCAAAGTGGAATTGATGAACCTGTGACTCAAGTCCTTCTCATTGCTCGAGGCTACAGGAAGAACTCTCAATGGTAACTCCTTACTCAGACCTTGCTTTGACCTGCTACAATACCAATCATGAGACAAGGAAAACAGAGTTTCTTTGATTGTCACTGACAGCCACCAGCTTGAGCACTTCATTAATAAACTCCAGTTCCTCCTGGAAAATGATGACTTTCTCAAGGCAGCTATGGGAAACAAACCTATTCTGGCATATAGGCAGTCCCCTCACCGCAAACAACAGGCTACCTAACTCCCTGTCTCACTGCAGCACCAGATCTTGCAACAGACCCAAATGCAAGCTGTGCCCCTTCATCAATACAGACGACATCATCACTGGGCCAAATAACGTGGATTATAACATCTGAGGTCCATTCACCTGCACCTCTACCAATGTCATATATACCATCACCTGCTTATAGTGCCCCTCTGCTGTCTACATGTAAGACTAAATGAAAACCAATTAGACATCAATTGCAGAAAGACATACAAACCTGTGGCAGAACAATTTAACCTCCCCGGAAATTCCATTGTGGACCTCAGTGGCAGTTCTAAGACAACAAAACCTTTATTTCATAGATTTCATAGACATTAGGACTGGAAGGGACCTTGGAAGATCATCAAGTCCAGCCCCCTGCCCAAGGGGCAGGAAGTCAGCTGGAGTTGTAGGGTTCCAGCAAGATAAACGTCCAATTTACTCTTGAAGGTGTTCAATGTAGGTGCTTGAACCACCTCCAAGGGCAGGCTGTTCCAGACCTTCCAAATTCTTCCTTATGTCCAGCCTGAATCGGCCTTGCAGTAGTTTGTAACCGTTCGACCTCATCATCCCTTGGGGCACTCTAGTGAACAAACATTCCCCCAGATACCGGTGGTCACCCTGGATAAATTTATAGGTGGCCATCAAATCACCCCTGAGCCTGTGCTTTTCCAGGCTAAAGAGCCCCATAGCTCTCAGCTTGTCATCGTAAGGTCTGTTTTCCTGACCTCTGATCATGCTCAAGCCTCTTCTCTGGACTCTCTCAAGCTTCTCCACATCCTTTTTGAATTGTGGAGCCCAAAACTGGATGCAGTACTCCAGCTGCGGCCTCACCAAGGCCAAGTACAAGGGGAGAATGACGTCCCAGGATTTGCTTGAGAAGCATCTATGGATGCAAACCAGTGTTTTGGTCGCTTTACTAGCCGCGGCATCGCATTGCAGGCTCATGTTCATCTTGAGGTCAGTGATGACCCCCAAGTATCTTTCTTCCATAGTGCTAGCCAGTGTAGCACTGCCGAGCCTATAAGGATGCTGCAGGTTTTTCCTCCCAAGGTGGAGAACCGTGCATTTTTCAGTGTTAAACACCATCAGGTTCTTGTCCACCCATTTGCTGAGCCTGTCCAGGTCAGTCTGGATCACCCTCCTGTCTTCTGGTGTGGATGCTTTGCCCCAAAGTTTGGTGTCATCGGCGAACTTGGCCAGTC